AAAAAAAAAAAAAATCACTTAGCAAAAAAAGAAAAATCACTTGGCTATTGAATGAATTTACATAATCATAGCTTTGATCCAATCATGAGGACCTCTAGCCAGAGGGACGAGAACAAGCTGGGAGAGAGGCAGAACATTTCTTTACCTAAAGGGAATTCACTGGTTAAGTGTATTTACTCAAAGAATGACAAGGACTGAGTTGTCTTAGGGCTTAAAAACACATGTTCTAAATCTGACACACATTTTCAGAGCAGAGGTCAGGGTTGATCATTAAACTACTTGCAACAGAAACAACTGATCAGTTGGAATCTTCCTAAACACAGAGGCTACTGCTTCTTATTTCACAAAGAAAGGGTAGCAAAAGGTAGAAATCCAAACCAATATGATCAATCTAGGGGAGGTCGGGTGGGAGGGAAGGGAATGATAAAGCCAACAAAACTCATCTCTTATCATAACATTCTTATTAGAATATTTCTAGCAAAGCAGGCTGAATGCTACAAAGAAAACAATGCTAATTTTTAGAAATATTTTAGTCTAATAATTTTAAGGTTTAAATAAATATCAGTATCTGTCAAAATTGCTAATATTGCTTTTTAAAAATAGCATTTACTTTTAAATATCAGCAGATTCTCAAACATTTTTATGTGTTTTCCATTGTGAAAGGTAATTTTAAACTTATTGTCTTGCAATTTGTCCCAAGAATTAGGATTTGGGGCTGAGATGTAGCTCAGTGGTGAAGCGTGTGCCTGGCAAGCACAAGGCCCTGAGTTTGATTCCCATATCAAAACCAAATAAACAAATAAATTAATAATAATAATAAATTAGAAGCATGATAAAAAACCATACTAGTTCCTAGAATAAGAAAAAGTAGGGCCATGAAATTGTTGCCCTTTAAAAAAAAGAGAGAAGAAGGCACAGGCTGTGGGGAAGGAGGGGAAAAGCTTGGTTGATGCAACGCAAAACACGGACTGAGGCCAGGAGTCAGTGGACTTTCGGGGTTCAATGGCTTTTGGAAAATTCTTCCAATAATCACTATGTCAAGCATCACAGATGTTTCTCTTTCTTCATACAAGGAAGATCAGGGATTTAAAGTTACCAGAAAAGCTAAAGAGGAACCATTTGTCGCTAATGAAAGGACAAATTTTGTAGCAATTGCAGCAAATGGATTATACAAATTGAAGAGCAGGTAAAACACTATAATGTACATTTACCTGATATACATACAGGTGACAGCCCAAGGCTTTGCTGCGGGAGTAATGACCATTGATATGGGCTATTCTGTGTTTTGGGAGTTCTGGGCAAAACCTAAACTTTAGAAGAAGAGAAACCATCTTGGGCTTTTTGGATATGCTTGCTTTAGTTAGACATCTCACCTTGAGGATACATATTAGTGTCAATAAATCATTAGAGTTGGTTCTGACTACATTATAATATTTTGAATAATGTCTTTTTTTTCCTTGCAAACTTAATGAATAAGTTAGTAGTGACTAGTTCACTAACTAGGTCATTCAAAGCCAGCATAAGAGAGACATGTCACCCAAATGCACTTCATAGTGTTAAAATGTCCACCTTTCTTAAACCCTCATGACAAAATTAGTACTAAAGAAGAAAGCAACCCAACTGTTATGATTTTGTCTGGATGTCCCCCCAAAGTTTCATACAGTCACAGGGTAGACTTCTCGAGTTTGTGACTGATTCATAGTCCAGTGCTGGGTTTATGGGTCTGAGTGCTATAATCACCCTCAGGTCGGGGTGGCCTATATACAATATAAGAGACAGAAAGAGTCTTCCCTGGTGCGCCTCCTTTTTTGCTCTTGTTGTTTTTGCTGTCTTCCACTGCCATGAACTGTTGCACCCTGCCTTGAAGCCAGATGATTATGGACTGAAACTTCTACAAACTGTGAGTTAAGTAAGTCTTTTCTCCTTTAACTTTGGATGTTGGGTATTTTGTCCCAGCAACAAGAAAAAAGTAACCAACATACCAACCCTGAAGTACAACCAATCTGCTACCAAATATTACATGCCTTGCGTGTTATGTAGGAATTTCTTGTTGACCCTAGTTTTTTCAGCTTTTATTTGTCTGCCTTGTAGTCTGGTGTGAGAACTTCAGTTTTTAAGCTCTTGAAGGACTCTTTTAAGATATGCATGAGTTTTAACTTATGAACCCTCACACAACTGGATTTGTGTGTGTGTGTTCAAACCTAGAAAACTTACATCAGAGCTGCATAAAAGTAGTATTTATTTTAGAATCACACTTGTAAGCATGAGAATAGCTTACTTATGAATTCCAGTTTAGTTTTTATATAATTAGACAATTATATTTTTGCTGCTTTTATATGAGCATAATTTTTAAATGTCATCTTAAAATAGAAGTATTTATTTTAAATTGACATTTATATACATGTAATTGAACACTTTCAAAATGTGTGCAGTATGTTTATTTTCTCTGTGAGAATTGTAAATGTTAAACATTTTACAATAGAAATAGAAATGATTAGTGGTTTATGAGTAAGCTGGCTTGGTCAGACAATACTCAAGAACTTTGATGTACTACAGAATACTTGTAAAATTCTCTCATCCAACCTGAACTTACAATCCATGGTGATAACATGGTATATGTGTTGTGTTATTAAAGCAAGTGAGCACATCAAAAAAAGGAAGGAAGGAAAGAAATCTTAAACCATTAAAGACTTGAATATAGGAAGGGGAATCCATAAATAATTTATACTGATTTTTTTGCTGGCTGTGCAAAGTGTGTTTGTCTTCTACTTAAAAAAAAAAAAAAAGACAGAGGGATATACAATGTTGTCCAGCTAGATCCACATCCACTGTTGGAGCTTTCAGTGGCAAGCACAAATGCAAGACTGTTTCCTAAGTTACAAAAGAAGTCCAGCTGTTTACAGTCTGGTGAAGTTGGGTGTCATGGGCACCCACTTGTGAGGGCTTTGCCAATCACCACGCATTAGACACTATCAAGTGTGGCTTGATGCCTGGGCTGGATGATAAAACAACCTACGAGGCATGGCTTTATGGGGAGTTTTTACTACTGGCTTCACCATTACAACTGTCACACTCAGGTGATCTTCAGGTACCTGCACTGTGTAGACTTATAAGGATTAACAGCATAATCCACCAGGTTTACAAGCAAAGTTACACTGAACAATGTGTAGAATTTACTCATTAATTATATATCTCAATGACTAGAAGAAATCTCTATATCAGACTGTGAAAGACTATACACATATTTAAAAGATGTTTTTCTTAAATCCTCATGACTCTTCAGTATACAGTTTCAAAGTTCATTACTGTACAGTTACAAGATGATAGTGTGTGACAATTTTATGTGGAATGAAACCAGTCTGTGTTCTGAAAACTATGACTTCAAAGACCAGAGTATAAATATCATGGAAAAGCCCCCCTTTACACCTGACACGAAGTTTTCATCCACACATCTTTAGGTGTTAAGTGTAAACAGGCATGGTACTTTTCTGATCTCTTGTAAAGAACTCAGCACAAATTTGTCTAGGACAATGAAGGCGAATCTTTCAGAGAATCAGTGCCCAAACTGCAATCCAAAACCCACTTGTTTACCCCAAAATGCCAGCACTGCTATTAAACCTGAATGCTAAGGCCCAGTTTAGAAAAAACAACTGTAATCTGATGCTTGGCTGCTGGGGTGCCTGGGTTCCAGGGCTGCCAAAGCAGGCTCTGCATACCCTCCGCTGCACGCATGCCATAGGTTTGTCGATCTAAGAGATTTCCTTTTGCAGGACAGAGAACGTTCCCATTTGATGAGAAACTAGTGTTTTTTAAAACCATTTTCTCATCTAAAATAATGGTGTAATAAAAGGAAGGAACACTATTTACACTGTGCACCACTCTCTAATTAAGGTGTAGCTAAGATCTATCAGCCAAGAATGAAACAATAACGTATGCAACCTAAAGTATGAATATTGAACTTCAGTGGGACTTTTTTGAGTTCTGCAAAAGAAAAAAGTAGAGACCATAGGGGATGGGCAACGTCTCTAATGGATGCGTTACTATTACTTTGCCTCCAAATAACCTCCAAATATTATGGACCAAATAATCTCAGTTCATTACATATAACTTCAGATTTTAAGTCCCCAGTGTCACAGTCAGCTATTACGAAAAAGTCAAAAGTCCACAGTGGGTGCATGCCAAAAGATCTGATTGTGCTTTGTGTGTTCTAAAAAAAATCTCACAATTAAGAAAAATGTGACACTCTTTAACTCAAAAGGAACTTAATTACTACTTCATCACTCTGTATTCACTTGATCTTTGCAGCTAACATACTGTCACATATTTCTGTATGCTGTCTCTAATAATTCAGTAGTTACTTTGAATATGTGTATTATATCCTCAACTGTATATCTTTCAAAGGCCAAAGAATAAGCTTTTTATTTTCTCCTATACATAGATTTCTAAAAAGCCTTGTTAGAGGAAGGAAAGAAGAAAGAAAAGAAAGAAGGGAGGAATGGAAGAAGGGATGGAGGGAAGGGGAGAAAAGGGGAAGGGAAGAAAGCAAATGTGAGCCTAAAGCTGAAATTCTGCATTATTGGCTGATCTCTGATTTGAATAAATAGTATTTCTGAGACTAAATTTAAAAATAAATCTTGGCTAGGGATGTAGCTCAGCAACACAAGTATCATTTGGCAAGTGCAAGGTCATGAGTTCAATCCCCGGTACGAAAAATAAATAAGTAAAAATAAATCTTTAGAGTGAGCTAAATATCAGGAAAGAGTGGTAATTTGTGCAACTAAAATGAATCATTAACTACGATGAGGCCAATAGTAAGCAACAATAATTCAAGTAACTTGGTCCAACTATTAAAATGTAGACTGAAATGATTAATTCACCTCAACTAGAAATGATTTAGTCAGATGTTATGTAGTATGTATAATTTTTAGAAGCAAAATTAAGTATACCAGTAATAAATTCATCCATTTTAATAGTTTGTTACTGGTAATAAATAAAATTACCTCTGTGTAACTCGAAGAGAGATATTTCCCATTGCATTTAGCAATGCGCCTCAGAATTTTTAATGCTTTGTCTCCTTCCTTCCGAGTAATCAGCCAGCGGGGAGATTCAGGAACCAACCTATTAGAGAAAGAAGGTTTTGGAATTATGTCAGGAATTTCAAAACCTGAAAGTTTATGATTTGAATTTTTCTATCGAAATGGATCTTGCATTTAGGTATAGGTTGCAATCACTCACAAGTTGACAACACGCTCTCTGAAACAAGATTATCTTTGTAAATTTATAATGAATGAAAAAGTGTAAATCTGACAATTTGGTCACTGCTCATAGAAAATAATATTACAGTGCTTTTGCAAGACTATTCTGATAGTATCTCTAACATATATATGAAAAGAACTGGGGTTTAGTGAGAATTAGGAAAAAGTTAATAACTTGATTTATGTAAATTGATTTGTCTATAGAGTAAAATAAAATGGGAGAAATGATTAAAACATGTTTGCATTAATAAGAATCAGATGCATACACCTGTACCTTCTTGACAATTTAATTTCTGATGGTCTTAACATTTTCTTATTCCTCAGAGAGTTCTTGAGTAACGTTAATTTGCTTAATAAAGCATACAGAAAAGCAAATTAATTTAATTACATCCAGTTTGCTTTTTCCAATACTGACACATACAATTTTCTGCCTCATGGTTTGCACTGATATTGCAAAATAAAAAAATACAAAGAGATTCTCTAGAATTTTGATATGTTGGTATTTTATCATTTTCAGTAACAATCATTAATTTGATAATAAGTAATCTCTGTAAATTCTCACGTACTCTGAAAATTCTCAAAACTCATATCCTTTCTGGAAATATTAGAAGATTTCCTTCACTGCTTTCATTTTCATGTTAGTTTAGATTCTACATTTCTGTGGAACAAGTATAAATATAATGATCAAAACCACATTACCAGTAATAAAGGAGAAAGAGAAAGTTGGGCAGCGTTATGGCTAGTTGGATCCCTTGCCAATTGGGGATGAAGTATGCAATTCCAGGGAGAATTATGATTCCAAGAGTGAAGAACACTTGAATCACTATTCCCACAATCCTCCTTTGTTTTGAACCTACTATTTCTGTCACTGAAGGAAAACAAACATAAGAAGTTAGGGAGGTTCAAGATCCACTCCAAAATAAACAGACATTACACCTGTCGCATCAGTTAGCATTGATAGAATACTCTAGAATTCAAAGGTACTGAGGCTTCTATATTTGCTGAAATGATGGAGATGTACTTTCTAGTTTCTTTACAGGTTTGTTTCACTCTCCTGTTTGCCATGTTCCTTTTAGGCACCAAGCTCAATACCCTTCTGGGTACAGTTGGGAAATACAAAGCATATGTGTTGACTGTAAGGAGGCCTCTATGATGATTTTTTTGGAAAGTAATTGTAATTATAAAAACAGTATAGTGAACTGCTAAATTTTCATCATCACATCTTTAAATATTTGTACATGATACTTTCATACAGAGGTTCATTATGAACATAAGATTATACAGATGCTTTTGGTTAAAACAAGATAGTTTCCATTAAATGACAATTCTCCCCACAATATTAGACTTCTCATTTATGTGACATTTATTTAAAATCATGTGGGACATTTTATTGGTAGAATCCTTCTTCCTCTGCCCCTTTCCGCTCACGGGTTTATTCTGCTCTCGTGAGCCTGGGATAAGCCATCTTAACGTTGTCCTATGATAACAATCTGGAACATTCATATATACTTAGGTCTCCTTAAAGTGTCTCACATTCCAAACCTTGTTTCTTATGCTCCAGTCAGTAACAATCTTTCCTAGAATTCTCTCTTTTTCCCACCCATTAAAAAGGTCTTAAAAATATTTAAATTAAACATTGCTTGGGTATAGCAGTGATGAGAGTGACCCTCAAAAATCTAGAACAATAATCTAAGACTACCCTGGTCATGAGTCTACCATGAATTGAAATGTAGTAAGTAGATGGTTTTACATTAGGAGCTGAACCAAGGGGAGAAGCTGGATTTCTCCAATAATATGAGCAAAAAGTAGAGGAAATGTCAAAGGGAGATAAAGGCTCATAAACTTTTCATTTTTAGAACATATCTCCCACATGGTAAATAGTTTTACACATGTAAGAAGTAAAAATAATATTTAAGAACAAAAATACTTTTAAAATATTTCAAGGAGATGCTAAAATTTTTATAGAAATTAATTCCCAGGAAAGCAAAGCTAAAAAATGTGATAACCACAACATGAATGGTCAGAAATGGTCTATCCTACTATTTTATGATATTTCATATTTGGTTCCCAAATTAAAATCGCATTTCAGTTTTCAGAGAAGTCAGAAGCCTACCCTGAAGCCCTTCTATTTTCATAAGCAATTACAGTCACAAGGAAGTCTCCTATAATTACAGTCGTCACAATAGGAAGTCTCCTATAATTACTGTTAAGGAAGGCCCACTTGGCAGCTCTTCTTGGTCACTTGACCCCAGTTCCCAAACAAAGAGAAGGAAATAATGAAGTCTTACCAATCACGTAGCAAGTTATCCACGTCCCCTTTCCAAACACACCTTGTAGGAATCGGAAGATCACAAACACAGGGAAATTTGGTGCAAACGCCACCACAACACCGGTAACACCCACACCAAAACAGGATATTAAGTAAACGATTATTCTGCCATACCTTTTTGAGAAAAAGAGAGAAAACAAGATTACCTTAAAATTTTTCTTCAATATCATGAGGAGAAAGCCTATCACTTTAGGATTGCCAAAAGAAGGCATAGGTATGGAAAATCTGTTCTCTATAACTTAATTACTACAAAAGGAAAGGATTACAAAAAGCTTTAGGTGTTTTACAGCAAAACAGGGAATATAAAGCTAAATGCGGCTAAAATGTTACAATCACCAAAATGATTTTTGCAATCGTGGTTTCCTCAAAGATGATCCATTCTCTGTTACACATGATGTAGCACAGATGTGATATCGTTTAACATTTTTGTGGCCAGAGTTATAGGAAGACTAAGGTAGAAGGAAGTAGCAATGATAGCATTACAGTCATTCAGTTGCTCCAATTAGTTACCAGTTACATGGTCACATTTTGTTTGCTTATTTTTATTTTTCACTTTTCTAGAGTGAGGTGGTAAGATGGATCAAATAAGATGTTAATGACAAAACAACTGTAAAGTTCACATTCAGTGTGAATTGTTCTAAATTTTTGTAATTTCATTTCATCTTTTGTGTAACTATTATTAAATAGCTTAGAAAAAAAGGAATGGAGGCATTCTGCATAAAACTAAACATATATGTGGAGTGAATTGGTTCGGTGTAGTTGTCAAATTATTCCCTGGTCAAAGCTGGTTGTCAGTGTTCTTTGAGAGATTTTATTCTGATTACTTTTCCCATGGAAATTTCCACCAATAATCTGTGTTTTGCTTCAGTCAGCAGAACGGAGACAGAAGTCACCCTAGTTTATCTAAATGACTGGTTTTTGGAACAGTTTTAGGTTCATAGAAAAATTTGAACAGAAAACACAGACAATTCCCATGTGCTCTCTGCCTCCACACACACACAGTATCCCTTATTACCAGCAGCTCCTACAAAATGGTACATTTGTTAATAGTTAGTGAGCCTACATTGACATATCACTCAGAGGGCATGGTTTGCACGAATGTTCACTCTTGGTGTGATATATTATATGGATTTGGATAAATATATAGTGGCATGTATCCGCCATTATAGTAATGTACAGAGGAGTTCCACTGTCCTAAAATAACTCAGTGTTCTTCTTATTCATCATAAAGAGTTGCTCCTAACCTCTGGAAATCATTGAAGTTTTACTGTATCCATAGGTTCGCCCTTTGCAGAATGTCATATAGGTGGAATCATTTACTATTTAGTCTTTTCAGGTTGGGTTTTATTCACTCAGTAATAAGCATTTAAGGTTCTTTCATGTCTTTTTATAGCTGGTAGCTCACTTCTGCTTAGTACGGAGTATGAGTTCATGTCTGGATATATCATAGATTATCCATTCAACTACTGAAGTGATAGGTCACACTAAATTTGTTGCTGTGATTTGGGTACAGTTAGTCAACCAAAAGTTTCATGTGCTAGAAGCTTGATCTCTAATGGCAGTGTTGAAGTGGTGGGACCATTAAGGACATCATGTGGATCGCAGGGGATACTCCCTTGTGAATAAATTAATGCTGGTCTCACAAAATGGTTTGGGTCTCACAGGAATGAATTCTCATGCAGCTCACGCAGCTGGTTGTTGTAATGGGAGGTGAGCCCTATGTGTGTGACCTCCTCTGTTTACAGTTGTTTTCCATTTGCATGTATTCATACCACTGTGATGCCACCTGTCATGAGACCTTCACCAAAGTCAAGCACATGTCAGCACCATGCTATTCAACGTCCAGAACTGAGTTAATATAAGCCTCTTTTCTTTACCAATAACCCAGCTTCAAGTATTTTGATATAGTTAACAGAGTAGACTAAGGCAATTTTCAACTGTTGAACTAGTTTTGCATGCCTAACATAAACCTTTGGCTGTGATGTATAACTAATTGGTTTCATACATTTTAAAATTTTATTTGTTAATATTTTGTTTAGGGTTTTGCATCTATATTCATGACAAAGTATTGCTTCATGATTTCCATTTTTAAAATATCTTTGAATTTGGCATTAAGTAATGATGGTTGTACAAAATAAGTTAGGAAATACTCCTAATTCTATCATTTGAAAAAAATTATAAAGTAATTAGTATTTCCTTAATGTTTGGCAGAATTTATCTGCCATCTAAGTCTAGTATTTTGTTTTGAGAAGTTACTAATTGTTGATTTAACTCATTTAATAGATATAGGCTTATTCAGACCTTTTATTTCTTCTTGTATAAATCTGGCAGATTAGGTTTTTCAAGAAATGTAAGTTGTCAGATTTGCATGCATAGGGTTGTTCATAATATTCCTTTATGATCATTTAATGAACATGGTATCTGAATGATGTCTTTATTTTTTAACAGTAATAATTTAAGAGCTGATATTTTATATTTCTTAGCCTGGCTAGAGACTTATCTATTTTAGTATTTTTCCCCCAAAGGCCCAGATTTTGACTTTATTATTTTTTCAATTGACTTGCTGTTTTTAATTTACATAATTCTTATTTAATTTGTAACAGCTCTTTTCTGCTTCCTCTCATTTTTTGAGTTTTCTAAGACAGTTTAGATAATCAAGTTTAATTCTATCTTTTGCTCCAATATATGAACCAGTACTGCAAACACAAAACTTGATAAACTGTAGTTTCATTTTCATTTCAAATTACCTTTTATTTTTGTACCAGAAATCAAATTCAGGACCTCATACTTGCCAGGCAGGCACTGTGCCATTGAATTACATCCCCAGTCCCTCAAACTATTTTTTTATTTCTTTTTTTGACCCATGTTCTAATGGAAGTATGATGTTTAATCCCAACTTTTTGTTATAGGTTTCTAGTTTAGTTCCATTGTAATTTGAGAGCAGACATGCCCTCATAATTTCTATTCTTTTAAACTATTAAAATGTACAGGGTCTAATCTTGTTGAATGTTTCATGTAATAAAAATACATGCTCTGTGGTTGTCAGATGAAGTAATTGACAGATGTCAATTACATGTGATTGGCTGATAGTGTTGTTGAGCTCATCTATGTTTCTAATGATTTTCTGCTGATTAGATTTTTACATTTCAGATAGTTGCTAAGATTTCCAACTATAATATGAATTAAATGTATTTCTACGTATATTTCAATTAATTTTTGCCACACATAGTTTGACACTGTTATTAGGTACATACATATAAGGATGGTTAAGCCTTATTGGAGAACTGATCACTGTATCATAATATAAGGACTATTTTTAGTGCTGACAGTTTCTCTTGGTCTAAAGTTTTCTGTCTGATATTCCCATTTTCTTTTGGTTATTGTTAATATGGTATACTTTTTCTACTCATTTCTTTCCATGTGTACATCTTTATATTTAACTAAGTTTCTTATAAACATTGTATCATTAGGTCTTGTTTTTTTGGTCCACTCTTTCACTCTATCTTTTAATTATGCCTCTAGACATACTGACATAGTTGGATTAACAGCCATCATGTCTGTTAATCATTTTCTATTTTTTAATTCTGTTTTTGTCTTCCACATTTTCTGACTTCTGTAGTAATAACTGAGTTTTTTTTTAAATGGCTCCATTTTCTCTTTGCATGTAATTATCTTTCTTTTTTTTGATCTACTTTTGGTGATTGCTGTAGAGTTTGCAATACACATTTACACCAAGTCCAAATCTGCTTTCAAAAAACACTATACTACTTCATGGCTAATAACTTACAAGAAAAAAGTTCTAACTTCTGCTCCTTTCCCTTGTGTAATTGCAGACTTTTCATTTCACATATACATAAAGACAAATAATTATATATATAAAGATAAATAATTATATAAATAAACATACATAACCAAATCTATTACTGCCATTATTTTGAGTAGATTATTAGATAAATTAAGAATAAAAAAGTTAATTATTGTGTCTTCACTCATTCCTTCTCCAGTGTTTTCCTTTATATAGATCTGACGTTCTGACATATATTATTCTCTTGTTCTCTGAAGGACTTCTTTTAAAATCTCTTCCAAGGTCTGTCTATTTATTGGCAACAAATTCCCTCAATTTTTGCTTGTCTATGAAAATGTTTTTCATTCACTCTTTAAGGGTAACTTTACAGAATACAGAATTCTAGGTTGGTGGATTTTTTTCTCCCAACACTAGATACTTCACTTCTATCTCCTCTTGCTTGCGTAGTTTCTGAGGAGAAGTCTAGTGCTATTTTTTTTTTTTTAGCTTTGTTCCTTTTCTATAGTAAGATGTTTCCCCACCCTGGTTTCTTTAAATATACCTTTCTTAGCTTTGATTTCCTATAGTTCGAAGTATCTCTGTGCACTTTATGGAAGATATTTATTCTGCTTAGTGTCCTCTGAGCTTCCTAGATCTGTGGTTTGGTATCTAATATTACTTTGGAGAGCTTTTCAGACATTGTTTCAAATATTTTTTGGTTCTCGTCTCCTTTTGATGTCCCCATTATTTGTACGCAATTTTGTTGTCTCAGGTATCAAATATTTTGTTCTGAGTCTTGTTTTTAAGTCTTTGTTTTCAGACTGCTTCTCAGTTTTGAACATTTCTACTGAGATATCTTCAAGCTCAGAGATTCTTTTGTCAGCCATGTCCAGTGTATTAGTAAGTCTATAATGGCATTCATTTTTGTACAGTGTTTTATATTTAGCATTTCTACTTGATTCTTATAATTCCCTTCTACTTACACTGTCAAGTTGTTTTCACACAGTCTGCTTTATTCCTTAAGCACTTAGCATATTAAACATAGTTTTAAAATTTGTAAACTGATAATTCCAACAGCCTTGTCATATTTTGGCTGGTTCTAATGCTTGCTGCCTCCCAATAAGCTGTGGGGATTTGATTTGTTTTCTACCTTTTAGAATAGTTTTTTTTTCCTTAATAGCTAGACATGGCTTACTGGGTAAAAAAATCTGCAGTAAAAGGTGCTCAGTGATGTGGTAGCGAGGTATGCAGCCCTATGCTTAGTCTCAGCCTTTTAGAAACCCTCTGGACTTTGAACAGAACAAGTGCTTCTCAAGATTTTTTTTCTTTCCTTAAGTAGGATGACATGAAGATTAGAGTGGACTGGATTTGGGGAGTTTCCTCCCCCATAGGGAAAGCTCTCTGGATAGGTATTCCCTTTCTGCAGGTCATTTAGGCTCTGATAAACTCCATCACTTTAGGTTCTGGTTTCTCCTGATGGTAGACCTTGTTAAGAAAAGCAGAATGCTCTGGTATATTTCAAAAGGATGGTACTTCCCCTCTCTCTCCCTCCTTCTGTTGAAAGTGTGGAAAGATTTCTCTTGATAATTGCTGTGATAACCCAAGAGGGCTTCCCACATTTTTGGTGCTAGTGTTTTTGTGATGCTGGGAATGAAACCAGCAATTTTTAACTCTCAGTCTTGTCCACACTGAACCTCCAGCTATTCATTAATTCAGCTCAGGTTTCCTTGTCCTGCACTTCCAGGGAAGTTTCAATTCTCTATATCTGTTTCTTTGTCTCTCCTATTTCATTTTGTTTTACTGTATTTTTTGGTACTGGGGATTGAACTCATGACCTTGCACTTGCCAGGAAGGCGCTTATGCTGCTGAGCTAAATCCCCAGCCCCTCTCTAATTTTACAGGCAGCAATTTGCCCTATGATTTGTTTTTTGTTCATTTGTTTTCCTTTGTTTTTTAGTTTTTTCAACTTTGTATTTTTTAGGACTGAGTGTAGATGTCAGATTCCTGATATACTGTGCCAAAAACTGAAAGTCCAAACCTATATTTTAAAATTCATTCTTTGCACCTCCTACAGTGTTCACTCATAGGACCTATTAATTATTTATTATTCTTTTCTTCATAGATACGTATCACAGACACAGAAGAAGAGAAGAAACTGAAAAGTGGTCAGCACTGTCAGGAAGAATCCTTCAGGGTTCTGCCTTTTTCCCAAGTCTGGTTCATTCTTTTCAAAGTGTCAAGAACAGATATTCAACCCCTGATTAGGTTGTGCAGGTCTGCTTGTTCTGTTGAGTTACTTTAGTTTGTGAAGAAGAAATATTCAGAGTAAGGAAAATTTAATTTAGAAAGTTTAAATTAGAAAGATTGAAAGTAAAAGAAAATTAACATTTTAAAATATAATCCAATTCACAACTGTAGCCAATAGGAAAGTGAGATGTGGCAGTGGAGGTATTAGGAAAACAAAGATGAAGATTGGAAAGCTATAAATAGAAAGAGTACAAAAGGACAGAGATAAAAGAGAAGATCAAGAGGGAAGAACATCAAACTCCAAAGAGTAAAGGAGAAATTTGGGTGCGGAGGACAGTTTTAGGAGAGGGCTAGAACAAGGTAGAGGAGGAAGAGAAGCCCACAGAAGGAAACACTGGACAGATTTTCCATCTTGAAGTACTGGCTTGATCAAACTCATATTTTCAGTATGAAATTTATTGTTGAATTGTTCAGTATTTTATTGTCGAATTAATTAATCAATTATTGTTTACAGTTCTCTAAAATGGACCCCTACCATTGTTTGATGAACAGCATGACCACAAAGACCCACCAAGGGCTGGGCTATAGTGACCTGAGCACTGTCTGGCCAGATATGGTCAAAGGTCAAGGATTCCCATTCTGCCTCCTTTTTCAGAGCTATAGAGAATTATTAAATCACTGAAAATGTTTTGTAGTTAGACTTATGATAAAGTAATAGAGTTAAATATGAATATGATGACCAATAACAGTGTCAGAAAGAATAGTCAAATAGCACAATAGTCTTGCTTCTACACTCTCACTGCCATTAGCAAGCCAGTTCCATTTATAAACATAAAATAATATATAAAAGTCTTTTGAGAGTTTTTAGAAAATTTTCTTTGTTTCTTTCTTTTTTTTTTTTTTTTTTTTTTTTTTTTTTTTTTTTGTCTTTTTCCGTTTTTATCGGTACCAGGGATTGAACTCAGGACTGCCTACTTACAAGGCAGGTGCTTATGCTGCTGAGCTAAATCCCCAGCCCCGAAAATTTTTTTTCATGCAGAGTTGTAAATTTGTAGAAAAATATGATAATGATCCTTTTCTTTAAAAGTGAAATAAATTTGGAGTGGGTTGATTTCATTATCATATTAATCAGACCACAACCCTAGAATCGCTGTAACCAGCACAATCTCTGGGCATCCTAACTGTGATATTACTGCCCGTAGATCTGTGCTTTCCCTTGAATACTTTGAAATACACCAGGAATAGCTTTACCCTTCATCTAGGTTAAGGAGCAAAGAGACAAAGTTTGTGAAGGGATGAATTAATTAAACCAAACAAGTATCAGTGACATGACTGGTAGAATAAAATAACTGTTTCCAAATCTAGCAAATCCATTTTTAATATTTAACATAAAAAGTTACTCCTCTCCGTGTGTGTGTGATGCTGTATTGATATAAAATGGTTGTCACATCTGTACTTACCTGTCTGCTGCGTACCCCAGTGTGAATGCCCCAGTCAGGAAGCCTAGGTTCAGGATAGCTTGGGTGAAGTCCAGCATCCATGCATTGACACACACAAGGTCAAACTGGGAAGACAAAGGAAAAATGTCCGTTATCAAATGCTTTTGAAGTACTTTACCTATTATACGGACACTGACCTTTAAACACTTGCTTAAATTTTGGAAATCCATCGCATGCATATTTTACACAGATATAGAACATTTTGTCAGTTTAAATAACTGTAAAAAATGTAATTTCTAGCATACTGTAAATATTGTTTTTTTTGGCACAAGCACTTGCCTAGCAAGTATGAGGTTGTAAGTTCCATCTCCGGTACAAAATACATAACTACATACTGCTGTACACAAGCAAAAAGATCTTTGTTATGCTTATATGACCAAAGTAGCTGCAACTCCGCCCATACTGTCCCTATGCATTTTTTTCCCCTTCTGGGTGACCTAATTGATGTGTTAATCAATGCTCCCCTCTGTAAAGAATTGTAAATCCCTGGGAACCTAACCTAACTGATATGGTAACCATTGTTGCCCTCTACAAATAACAGATGTGGTGTTAAAATAAGCTGACAAAGGATTGTTAATTACTGCTAGACTTCTCTGTCCCCTGCTAAGGGAAACATTTCCTTAGCAGATTTCCTGATCCACACCCATAACCCCTTACTTTGTAAACTGTGATATCTACAAAAAGGCTGAAAGTTTTGAGGGGGACACACAGCTTTTGCAAACTCCAACTGCACTGCGTTGCTGGGCCCATGATAAAATAAATCAGCGCTGCTTTTTAAAAACATGTTTTGCCCCATTTTTGGACTCAAGGTTGGGGACTCTGAGGGGCTCATTTGTGGATTACAAAGCATACATATATGTCTTCAAATAATGTTGTTACATCATTTTAAATCATATCCAGGAGTGTAAAAATACAGAAGCAATTGGACATTTACACATTCATCCTATTAAAATGTTTTCTAACAGTATAAAATTTGACATCAATCTTTTAGTGCTATGAGTGCTTATTTTTACTCCCACATACTTTTATTCTAATTTAATATACTTTATGTAGAAAATATTCTATTGTTTACCATACTTCTGTGTACAATAAGTTATATATTCATTGACATTTAATTTTTTAAATTTTTCAGTGGCAATAAGCCTCTAAATATTAGACTTTTTTGAGTCATAAGTCTTACTGCGTTTAGTTCATAATTGGAAAAAAACATGAGTGTCCTGCATTTTGAGAAATAATTATTATACAAGAATAAAGTTCTGCTGGAAATGCACCTGCCAATTTCTAGAAGGTTAAGAAAGAGAGGGACATAGGAAATAAGTGAGCTGATGATCTGAAAACAAATTTCTTGGAAACATCCAGGCCCTCCAGTCTGTGACTATCTCTGCAGAACTCCTAAGAGTGTTGCCAGCTTGACAACCTCTGCCCTAGATAGCAGCACTGAGAAAATTCATACTGTTGGAATAGACATTGTGAATTGTCTCAAAAATGTATGAGGTGTGATGATAAATTATGATAAATGTTTCAAATTTAAGAATAATTACAGGAATCAGCCATGCTGGGACTTAGGGGACCAACCAAGAAAGCAACCAGCCAGCCTTCCTGCTCAAGCCTCACTTGCACCAGGGTAGAAAAGTCAGCTTCTCCGATAAGCCTAAGGTCTGGGCTGAGAATCAAAGCTCCTGTACTACTTAGCAACCAGACGGCTCTGAGGTCAGTCTGAGTTAATAGCAGCTAAGGTACATAAAGCAACTAAATGCTTGTATTGTTTGACTGATTATGCAGCCTCAGGGCAGCAGCCTGAGCATCTCTCTGGAAGATGACACTATCTGTATAGCAAATATGGGGGATTTCCTTCTGTCTTGTCTTTGAAGTCCAATATTGTTTTCACTGTTTTGCTATGTTCTGATTAATTGTTTTGCTATATTCAATATTCTGTTTTGGTTGGTTTTATAGTGCTTTGGTTTTGGTTTTGGTTTGATTTTTTCTATACCTGATGGAATGGACAACTATTGTGAAGATAATAAGACATACTATGGTAGCTATTATTGTGTTCCTGGTATCCTGCTCTGAAGTTCTGTACCCTTCTCACTGCATTATCTTGACTGGCTTCATTCTGTCTTGTTCTGTTGTATTTCACTATCTTTAAAATAAAAAAAATAATTACAGTAAAAGACACTTTCCATTAATCCCCTTGCTTCAAGCACATATCCCATTGTTCTTGGCACTTCCTGAGGCATTTGAGAGGTCTTCATTCCTGAGTGTCTTTATGAGATTTGATAAAAAATAATAAGTATTGCTCCCAAGTATCATCCAATGAAAAAGCAAGCTCACAGAATCATTATAGTGTGTCCTCAGCTATCTTATTTACGGAATATGGCACTGTGAACCTCCTGGCTCTTCCCCAAAGTCAAAATGACCATGCAAGGTAAAGGTTTTGAATTAATACAGGACGTCAAGGCAGCTGTGACAATGCAATTAAAGACATTGGCAGACAGGACTTTCAGAACTGCTTCACAAAGTGTCATGTACAATGGGATATTGCCAGTGAGAGGAAATATTTTGAGGAAGAGTAATGGTAAAGTGCTTTTTATTACAGTAAGTCTTCAAAAACTTAAACATTAACAATATTGTTTGTTCATACTGTATATATTCCATATACAAACAAATATTTATTCAAAATAGCACAACTTCTGGTCTTGGTTCTATATTTGGTGACATATTGCTTAACATTCTGAAACAAAGCTAGGGCAACAGTAGCTAGCCCACTTAGGAGTGGCTGAAAAATCCATTGCGATTAATGAAGCAATGAGATTGACATACATACATGATACTGGCAGCAGCTAAATTAGAAATGTTATAAGCAGTGAGACAGGGCTAGGTCCTCAAACATACCAATGCAAATACCTTACAACTGTAGGGGAGACAGACACCTCCTGCTGTGGGCCAGAATTCAAGACAAAGGATCAAACACTGATATTCTAATTAGTTCCCTATCACCCTGAGGAAGTCAGGAGTCACTATCCCATCCCCCTAGGGGAAAGGTCACAGCTTTAAGAATGCCCACTTCCTACATGACTTGCTTTCCCATTAATCCCTAATGTAATCTTGTTGGCTAACTATAGTTATGTTCCACCTTATGCACATCTGCTTTGTGAGTTCCCAGTCTTCCCCCACTTCTAACCCATTTCACCACATGGTTTTACTCTATAAAATTCCCTGGAAAAGACAGAGTCTTGGGCAACCACTTGGGACCGCTTCTGTCTTTCTTCAGGCAGAAGCTTCTTTCTCTTAATAAATATATTCTACTCTTAACCTCTGTTGTTCTTAAAATTCATTCTTCAGTTTTAGAGAACATGAAATCGCAGACATACTAAGTTGGGAGTTTCATTCCCCTATATCAATATTAGTAATCTAATTGTGGCAATTTAACAGGGATTTTTGTCAACAGTTTTGTTTCTTCATGGCATGGTTTTAAGTCTGTAAATACTTTTTTTATCTGACATAATTCTTTATTGGAATGAAATATGTAAAGAATGCACCTAGAACAATTGTACATAAAATCTCAGTAAGCAAATAGATTTGATTACCAGAGAAAAGGAAACATTTTACCTTTTCATTGGTACAAAAGCCTATCCAATTGCCTTTATATAACTGTACTTCAAATCATTGGGTTGGCTACATAGGATAGGGTACAAACAGTACTTTTCACAGATGACACAGCAGGGCCTCACAACTCTGCAAGAGTGATCCTTTCCATGATGTTGTTGGTTGCTTTTGAGTTGTATGAATTAAAACCAGACAGCTTTTTAAAATCACAATATGTTCTTCAACGTAAAACTTTTATAAGGTCTTTTCCACTCTCCCATAAATAATAACAAGTTTAATAGTGCATATTTAAATAAAATTAAACAAAATGTTAAAAGTACTGTGATAACATTTTCTAAAGTATCCTGATAATGGAAAAAATAATTAAAATAAATTATGTATAGGCACAAATTCTCCATGACGAACACAATCATTATGTATGGCAAACGTGTGACAATAAAAAAACTAAATAAATTTAAAAAAACAAAATGTACTCTGAAAGATACCTGTCCTAGACACTGCCTGCCCCTCTGTGCTTTCTGCATCTCAGGAAGTGTAAGTCTAGAAACTACATTTCCAAGAATGCTTTGCAAACAAGGATCTGTTTAGGTTTAGAGAATAGTAGGGATGAAGACAGTAGGATGGAGGTGGAGGAGATTCTGCTTCTGTCCCTGATAGAGCTCTGGCTCCAATATTAGAGGTGGTAACAGTGGCTGGTGACCTCAGCAGTCAGTCAGGGCCTGTACCACTGCCTTACTAAGGGATAGACTTCAAGGAGTAGCAGGCTTTAAAATTGGCTGTCCAAACTCAATGTGGTGATGCACGCCTATAATTCCGACCATCTGAGAGGCTGAGGCAGGAGTCTCTCAAGTTCAAGGAGCCCATACAACTTAGCAACTAAATGTGACTCCAATCGCAAAATAAAAAACAAAATATAAAAGAGGGCATAGGATGTAGTTCAGCAATTCACACAAATGCCCTGGATTCATACCCCAGTATGCTGCCCCCCTAAAAAAATAAAGGAAAAGGAAAAAGCAATTTCCATCAGTACATGGGCTGACGAGCAAGATTCTCAAGCTAATGCAAGACCTCTTTTTCCTGGTCCTTTCCTCTCTTGTTCTAGACCTTCCAAAACAACTCAAATACAAATTCTTTTATTAAATCTTTTTTCTGCTTAAAATACTCAGCCAGCTTTCTGTTTTTACGACTAGGCTTTCAAAAGAACCAAATAAATGAACTTAAAAGTATTATATCTTTTTAAAAAATGCACACAGATACATACATGCACACTAATGTCTCCTCTACAGGGAACATTGCAGATGCAAAGACTGAAGAGTGAGGTTTTGATTCTGGTTCCCATAGTCAGGGGAACAGACTCCTGCCTTCTGCTGTCTGTAACTGCAACTGTTTGAGCCTGAGATGTGTTTAAACCAAGGTCAGCAGGCTTGCGGTTTCTCAGAGGTCAGCAGCTTGTAGTCTT